CAATGTACTTGACATCCCAATTCCCAGTTCAGTACACACTGTAAGCATGGTACTTTCCCGCTTGCATGCCAGTGCCCTGCGGTCCCCAGCCGAGCAGGACCGCCTTGGTCATTTTTGCATGAGAGCAACTCAGAACCTCAAAAGTGGGGCACAATCAATCATTCAGGCAAAAGGGGGCAGCTGCTCAGCCCCCCCATGCCTGCCTGCCAAAAAGCCCCTTCATGCATGCATGCAGTTTAAATTTACCTCCTGTTTCACAACTATTCCTTTCCATGGTGTTTAAGTCCTCAATCTCTGCATAAACACATTTATGGCAGCAGCTTTGGTCTGTCATTAAATTAGCTGGGTTCATTTCCTTAAGCTGTGCACCGACGTCTAGACTACTTACATCCAGGACAAATGTATTCGAGCTTCCATCATACAAAAATGGTTTCACCCTGTTCTTTTGCACTTGGGTCCAGCTTGCTGTATGTCTGTTTAGCTTAATCTCTTCATCTAAATCATGATTTATCTTTTGGGCTCAAATGCAATCTTGTCAATTTGAGATGCTTAGTGTAGGCTAGATTAACCGTCCATTATTTAGAGGAGGGACATCTGGTAGGCTAATATAGGCTGATGACGTTCTACTCATTTTTATTTATTTTAGTTAGTTTTGAAGTTTGTTGTTTTAATTTCAGTTTAGTTTTAGTGTCTCATAGTTTTAGTGTCTCAACGGAGTTATCCTTCTCCTTTCGGCATTCGTTAATGATAACAAGTATGGACAATGGAAAAACCCACGGCTTGCCAAACACGAGGAAATTGTGGGGTTTTCCTTCCCTGCAATAGACATGACGACATGACTAGGCTATCGCGAGGCATGGAACAAAGCATTGCTGTCAGAGTATTGAAGGTATGTGAACAGAAAAAATAAAATTAAAACAAAGTGTTTCTCTGTAAGCCTCCAGATGCATGCCAGCTGGTTAGCCAATGCCTACGTGGGAGAGAAAAAAGTACCCAAATCCATTTATCCAATCACAGAAAAGAGCAGACTAAATCATCTCTGAAACTGCTGTAAGTTTCAGCCCCTCCTCCGGCAAGCTGTTTAGTAAGAATTTATAAATTAACCCCAACTAGTCATGTTTAGCAGTGACCTGCTTTAGTCTTGTCTTTTCAATCTTTATCAGACTGTAAGTTCAAGAGCAGTACCTAAGAATGTCCACACGATGTCACCATTGCATGAGAGCTAGCAACCATGCATAACATTAGCTAAAAAAGAAAGTGAATTTTACCCTGTATATAAGCCAGTGCAGTGGCTCAGCAGGTAGCAATATGGGCAGCATAGGGCAGGTGGCACTGGCTCAGAAGCAGGACTTAAAGACACTGGCTCAGTTAACCATGATCATAACTAACTTAACTACACAGACTTTTTGAACTATGGAATGAAACCTGTGGAAACATGGGAAGAGCATACAAGCTCTGCACATACCAAGCTTGTGGAATCAGTTGAACTTTCAACCCTGGTTGGGTGAGACTACAGAACTGCTCACTGTGCCGCTCAAAAGAACCTAAAATCTTTCTCCATAAACCACTACTCAGTGTGGATAGCGAAGGCTGAGTTGGTTTTGTACGAACACTGGAAGCATCCCCTGGCACCAGAGAGCCTTCCTCAAGAAACAGAGTTCTGTTCAGACCAAATGGCATCACCATAAATCAGATCAACCTTTGTGATGGGCAAATGGTGAAATCTTGGTCAGCCCCTGTGAGGACTTTCACATTCCTTCTGTATTCAATAACTTCCTGACATTAGATGACAGAGTTAAATTGAATTATACAACATAAGATATATTTAATGGAGCAGAACAGTGGTTCAGTGGTTAGCACTGTTGCTCACACCTCTGGGACCAGGGTTTGACTCTCTGCCATGGCTCCATTTGTGTAGAGATTGAATGTTCTCCCTGTGTTGTTGTGGGGTTTCCTCCAGGGACTCAGGTTCTCCCCCACAGTCCAAGAACATGCTGAGGTTAATTGGGGTGTGTGAGTGTGCCCTGTGATGGGTTGGCCCCCCATCTTGGGTTGTTCCCTACCTTGCACATGCAGCCTCTGGGATAGGCTCTGAGTAGGACAAGCAGGTACAGAAAATGGGTGGATGGGTGGACAATATATTTAGCTTAATTTTCTTTGTTGTTCTAAATATACAATATATTTTTTCAATACAATGAGACAGTTGATGTCCCAGTGCTCCATTTTATATTTTACATTTTATAACTACTCCACACATCACTCAACACTGTGCTTGTTCCTTGGGGACCTGGTGTCGTGATGGATGACAGTGGTGAAGCAGCATTCCTCAGAACTCCGCAGGCCTATGTACAGCAGAATGGAGCTTCCTCTCTGTTGCGTCTGGAGACACCGATCCTCCAAACAATCCCAGCTTCTGAGCGTAAAGCTTATCTGATTTATCAGCAGGCAGAGTGGAGGGCGGCCAACTTTAACCCCAGTAGGACTTCTTCTGTCCCTATTACAGGCAATTAGAACATTTCCTCCAGTGTAAATAGCCGTGCTTAAGTGCTGTCTCTATCTCTCTTCCACTTCATCCACCCAATTCTCCTTCTAGCAGTCGCTGTATCTGTCCTCCATCTTGCTATCTATTGATCTCTCTCGCTTCAGTTTGCATGCGTGCTCCCGTGCACACGTGTGGCTTTCCATGTTCAGGGAACGCCCACCACCACACCAGTCCTTCTTGCGTTTGTTTCTGATTCTTCTTCTTCCTCCTTCTTGCTGCAGACTCCATTCTTCCTCGTCTTCCTCGTTTCATGGACTGGCACTTTCCGGCACCTCGTCACCAGGTACTCGAGATGCCTTCAGGAGATATTTTCACAGCTCTCTGTTGGCCGACGTTCCCCCCTGTGGGTTCCATCCTCTCATGAAGGTCTGTTTCCTCCGCTCCTCCGGCAGATTCACATGATTCAGTTATAGATGCTTCTCATCCTTCATTTATGGACTTTACCGCTTGTGTGCTGCTTCAGACTGCGTCTTTGTGTCATGACCACACTTAGCATCTGTTTACTCAGATGTTATTTGCCCCCAGGAAGTACAGTTGAAGCCCAGGATGACAAGACTGCTGTCCAGGATCAGGGTTGGACCAGCCATGCAAGCTGAGCTCGGGTGGAGGGTCCTGAGTGGGTGTACGCGGGGAGATAAGGAGCTTTGTGATGCAAAAGGCTGGCAGACAGGCATCATTAGGGACCCACGTCAGAGCTGAGCGGAGGAGCATAGTGCAGCACGCCAGACGACACGCACACACACAGACGGACCAGAAGTCACATAAGCAAGGGCTTCACAGTTGTTAAACACTGAACTCTATTTCCGCAATATAGGACATTATTACAGACAAAGTAGCAGGAAAAACATGAAATCGCTTCGCTTCCTGACCTGGGCTCCGCACACTGCCGCCAACACTGTGTGTTGATGGCAGCCCTGCAGATGTGTAAGTATTCAATCAACATGGCCCCGTTGTCAGCATCCCGTCAACCTCTGGGTCCTCATATGTTGCCACGTTTAGCAACTATGATCAAATTCTTTGTGGCTAGTCATGCTCTGCACTGGAGACATGAAAGATGTGAATGTCTTAGAGTATCATGTGGATCAGTCAGTCAAAAAAAAAAAAAACGCGGAGAATAATAAAAAAATAATAAAGAATGTTTCTGTGGTGCTCATTATGCAGCAGGTGTCCATTTCATCGGGTACTATTAGAGCCAGACTATCGTTCCGAGTTTTCCGGAGAACGGCGAGTTCTCATAGTCATAAAATCAACCAATGTTCAGCGGGATTGGAAATTTCACAACCCGTTGTCGTCCATCTGATCGTTGTACGGTAAATGTAGAGTTTTCGCCACCGATCAATCTGTTATCTGGTATAGGCACCAGTACACTCTGTCTGACATGCTGAACCATTCTGGGGTGGCTCTGGAGTCTGGGGGGGGGCAGGGGGGCACTGGGAGTTGTGTTGCTCTGGAGAGCTAACAGCATTCCCCTGTTCCTGCTCCACTACAAGTGGCCACTTTGGAGTGTTGACACAGGTGACAAAGGAGGGCGAGGGAGACACGGCACACCCGCTCGCCCTGGGGACGCCTGCTCTGCTCACTGTGGTCAGTGCCGGCCTGAGCCAGAATATTCCGGAAACATTCCAACTTGTCGCTCCAAGTCAACCATGTTTATTATGCACCATCTTCAATGATCCAAAAGCCGTGTCCTGCCTAGGATCAGAATACATTTCTCACAGTGCTGTGTGCCCTGTGGTTTATCCATCCAACTAACCAATAGTTTTGGGCAGGATCACCTGTAATCTTTCCCAGGAAGCACCGGCCACATGGTTGGGTTATACACCGGATGCCAGTGCATTCGAGGAAACATGCACTCACAAACACAGCCATACCCTAAGGAAACTCAGGGACACCAACCAGCCTAACTGCATATCTTTGGACTGTGGAAAGTAATGTGCATTACCACAGGAGAACATGCAAATTCCACAAACGCAGATAGGAGATGGGAATCGAACCCATACCGCTGCAGTGCCACCTACTGGAATATTTTTGTTCCTAAAATACAGATCACTGTACCTGCTTAGAAACCACAGTATTAATTTACTAGCAAATTAAAGTGTTTCCCAGCTATATAGTACAGAATTTCTGCTTGTGTGGATTTCTGTTTGTGCGTGATTACCGAGTCAAGAAAGTTTGTTTGTACTGGAATTTGTACTGTGAGAAGAACAGACACTTACACACACAGTGCATTCTGCATTTGTCCAGCTTACACTACAGTTGAAATGTATCAGTTGAAGTCGTTAGCTCTCTGTTGTTTATTTCTTGCCATAAGTTTTGAAATGTTTAAAAATTGAACATTAAACAAATTAAACCTTGTTTAAGTCGTCATAATGATAAAAGATCATTTTCTTTGTGGTTTCTTAATTTTGATCAAAACACAGCAAATGTAATGCATAAACTACATTATAAAAAAGGAAAACACAATTTACGTGATTTTAATAATGTTCACTATGTTTACATATATTGTTTTACATATGCACCTATTTGTCACAGTCAATAAATTAATCAATAAATAGGATCTTTATTTACTGAAGCAGCACGGAAACAGCTAGACTGGAAACTCTGATTTTGTATTTCAGGAATTCCGGAGTTCTGAAAATTACAAGTGAATCCAGCAACATCAACAAAGAAGAGGGTCTCGCTGGACGCTACTCTGGAAGTTTGTCACAAGTTTCTCCTTGAGACCCAGTCTGGGGGAGTGGGGGAGGGGCGGGACCCACTGGGGGACGCGACCCCTTATCCGACAGGCTGACAGCGATAAGGAACGCTGAGCATCATTTCCTTAAAAGTGAGGGATCGGGTAGCGGGAGAAAGGGCCAGGGGTAATGGGGAGGTTCTCCTTCGGCGGGGGGGGGAGGGGGTGCTGGGGGCTTTTCAGAATGAAGGGTGGAGCTTGTTGGGGCTCAGTCTTAAGACTGAGGAATGTTGACAGTCTTCTCTCTCACCCACCCCCAGAATGGTGTCCAGTCCTGGCGACAGTCCACATGTTTCTCTGTGCTGACACCTTCTTATCGGTCCGCTGTGGAGAGGCGTGCGCGGCATGTGACTTTGGGTGACGCTTGGGGGGTCCTGGGGTCGGCAGGGAAGTTGGCCAGCAGAGATAACCCTCAGAAAGCAAAAACCGGAGAACTCCAGTCCAGTCTGGTTGAGGATTCTTAGGTCAGTCCCACTGGAACAGTGCGGCTGGAGACACGCAGAGCTGATTGGTGCTCTGCTCCAGGCTACTGGCCGATAAGGGGAGCGGAAGGAACAAATAGAGTGACCCGTGTTGGCAGAGCAAAGCCAGTCATTCGCTGGGCTCCCCCTTCCATTCCCTCGGCCGCTCCTGTCAACAGTCCTCGGTCCAGCTTACGCTCAGAGATGCTGAAGATGCTGCGGACCCCCCCCCAAGGGACCCAACACCTCCAGCACACGCTCCTTTGAAAGGTCACTGGCCTCTGTGTGTCCCCCTGTTTTTGAGTGTAAATCCATATTGGATTAGTCCAGTGTTTGAAAGACAACAAATTTGGGATTTTCTCATAAATGTCCAAATATAATGAATAAATTGACCATATGGGACAAAAACTTATGTTTCAAAAATCTAACTGTAGGCCTTAGTCTTTGAGATCCTCCAAGTCAAATCTTTCATGTTTGTGTGATGGGTCTTTCACATTCTGTCCGTTACCTTAATAATCTCCATAATAGTCCATAATAATCTAAGAATAGCTGAAATTCACCTCTCACAGAAAAGCACGCATTTGCATGTAAGGTATTATCTTCTCCCCTGTCCTGTTCCAAACCTACCAGGGACACACAAAGTGACGTCAACTCCTTTAGACCTTTGATGGCTGAAAATGGGAAAGTGGTGATACTGTCCGCTTGCTAAGTAAGACTCCAGCCCTGAACAAAACACCTCTTGGAACTATGATCAGAAATACACATCTACATATGTCTGTCCCTGAATCCCTGCTTCCTGCTTTCGTCACTCATTAAATGACATTAACAATGTCCTGCTGTACATTATAATTAAATATTCTTGTTCCTGAAATACAAAATATACACATTTACAAACAGTAAACTCGCACATAAATTAAACCTTATCCCCCCTCTGTGTCTGGCCCACATATTGCAGGTTTGAATCACCATTAAAAACATGATAAGTTACTCAGATCCTGAAATACCCTCATGCTGTCACCTAGACACTGTGGTTTAATGCTTCGTTTTGACTCTGAACAGGATCCTAATTCCAATGGTATCGTTGTTATTGCCTGTAGATGCTGGATGTTGTGTAATGACTGTTGTCTTTAACGTGGGAGTTAATCTGGTTTCCTTTCCTTTGTCACTGGGATCATTTGACAGACTGCACTCTCAATTTTAACAAGCCCTCCCGGCCACTAGGGGGACTATCTGCAGCCACACTCTGCCACCACCATGCCATCATACTTGTACTTGTAGGTGACCACACCCGTGTCATCCAAATAGAGCAGGGAGATGGGGTCCAGCTTGGTGGGTACGCAGCAAGCCCGTGACACCTTCTGTGGGCTCTTGAGGTTCACCAGCGTTTGGACGATGGCGTGTTTGGTGGGTGTTACATGCTTCGTTAGTGGGTAGGAGCAGGTGCCACTACACTCATAAGCCTCATAGCCAGTGGGGGCCAAAATCCAGCTGTCCCACCCAATGTCCTTGAACTCGACATACAGGGACGTCCTTTTGCACTGGCTACCTTTGGCATTGCGCCGGATCCTGGATGCTGTGTCGTAGATGAGGTTGGATCTCATCTGAATAAGAGCCTCTTCGTCTTCCTCCTCTTCTTCAGATGCACCATGCTGATCTCCCCACAGTTCATTCAGACCCAGCTCCAGGTTTTCCTCAACTCCCACCCCTAGGTTCTCATGTTCAATCATTTCATTCAGCTCTCGTTTATCACCACGGTGATCTCCACTCTGATCATCAGAGAACACAATGAGCAAGGGCTTGTGTTTGGCCTCAGGGCTCATGTCAATGTCCATGTCTCCACCTAACATCCCACCTTCTGCATCTTCTCTGCTTACAAAATGTCCTACTTCACCCAGGGTGTTTAGACTTGCAATGTGTACCTCCAGCCTGTGGGTGGTGCTGTATTCCGATTTGTGCCACTGCCGGACGGCAGCAGTCAGATCGAAGGACTCCCAGCCACTGTCTGTGCCATAGACCTGCCGTGAGGCCAGCTCCACCCATCTCACCGGCTCTCCTTCCTCATCCTCCCCTAGCCCTTCACTCTCCTTCATGTGGCCCTCTGCTTCTTGCTGCTTTCCCCTCACCTCGAAGATGGTTACCTTGCGATCAACACCAGCATAGAGGCGCCGGTCCCGCTGCACCAAGGTGTAGAGCCGCAGCTGTGCCGCAGTGACACGCTCGTGGTGGGGGATGGACACGTTGAACAGGAGAGGGTGTCTCCTCACCCCACCCAGCCCGACGCTGTCGGGGGAAGAGTCTGCGGTAGAAGACAGAGTAAATACAGTAAAATAAAAGCAATCAAAAAAAGACACAAGTAGACACAGATCAGTGAACTGTCACCTCTGCTATATGACCATGTAATCATGTGTTTTTGACAACTTTTGCTCTCTCTACTTAACACATCATAAACATGCATGGGTCTGTGGTTATGGCTAAGCTTTATATGCACACACATACTCGCCCTGTGCTGCACAGGTTTCCCCCAGTAGTCCAAAGACATGCAGTCTGGCTAATGTGCTAATGCTAATGTGTCTCTAAATTGTCCACAGAGTATTTTTGTGTGCATGTACTGCATGTAACCTGCGATGGCCTGGGGTGCAACCCAGCTTTTTGCCCTTACCAGGAGTCAGAGGACAGATAGATGCATTTGAAATAATGTGCATGCAGCGTAAATTTATGAAATACATGTAATATCCTTGGTTGACTGAAATAGCTAAGCAGTTTAATTTTTATGCATTAACATTATATTAATCACGTTATATTACACAATTCATATCACTGCATGATTTATGTTTGCAGGCAAGTGGTATCTAGACATGTACTGTATAACTTGACACTAAATTGTAGAGTGAAACTGCCAAATTAGTTGTCACTAGTTAAATCTGAACTCAGACCATGAAAAAATCGCTTCCTGCTTTTCAACCAAATCTGCATCGACTTTCTGAACCACTCATGTAATAGACCACCAAACCAGGCAGAGATGACGGTGTTTCTGCCACTGACCCTGAAGTTCATCACAAACCAGGGCTTAATTATCAGCTTTTATCTGATCCACCAGAAAGATATTTAGCAAAAAATCCCTATGCCAAGAAGCCGACAAACCACTCCTGTACTGGTGCTAAAACTGCACACTGGGAATAGTGATGGTGAAAATGAAATCTGTGACCAACATCAACATTAATCCACAATGATCTAGGCTTAACTTTGTGTAAACGTGTTTAAAGGCAGAAGCTCAAGATGTGTCGATAAACGGTGATCTCGAATTAAGAACATGCAGAGAGCTGTGGAATTTCTAGGTGAAGCTCGGTGTGAAACTTAGGGACACGGGGGGTGGGGGGGGGGTACCTTCATTCTTGAAGCTACGGATGATGTTGGCAGAAGGCATGGCGGTGTGGTCGCTGGCGAATCGGTTGTACAGCTCCAGCATGTACTCCGGTGGCTCCACGCGAGACCCCCTGGGTTGCAGTGGTGGGCCCATGCCTGACAAGTTGAAGGTGCGCAGGAACTGTCCCCTCAAGGTCTCCAAGAAGCTCTGCATGTCCAGATCTTCATGCTGCTCCAGCAGCAAGGAGTCCATGGAACCCCGCCGGCTCTCGGCCATCTCCGGGGCCACGATGGGGCTGCCCTGGCCCCAGCGGGGCCAAAAGGGGAGAAGTGGAAAGAGGAAAGTTACATAGATGCCCCACAGTCGGGAGATCCGGACCTTAGCCATCGTCACAGGAGAGTTCAGTGTTCAGGGTAGTTGAGGATTCGTTTGGGACTTCGTGAGCTCTGCAGGTGCAGCTCAGCGGAGCACCATGAACACAGCAGTGGTAACACCTCGGAAACCTGGGGCTCAGCTCGCTTTCACGCTCTTTGGGGACGTCGTTTTGGCAAGGGGTTAAAAAGCAGGTTTGTCCTTGTTGATCTTGTGATTCGGTGGAGAGGGCAGGGCTGTGGCGGTAACCCTTTCTGCAGATAAGTGTGGAGAGTTCACCTCTCTCTGCTCCTCTGGCTCTTTTATGACCACCAGATCTTCTGAGGAATTTCTGTTTCTCCCTTATGTCCCATGCATGCCTTTGATATACTTTTCCGGAAATTTGAAGTTCTGGCAAGAGCGTGGTCCAGCTTCGTCCTGCTGTGGCATCTCTTTTCTTCTGTTTTTCCTTCCCCAAGCCTCTCTTCCCCTTGCTCTCTCTTTCTTTCTCACTCTTATCTCTCAAATGGGAAGCTCTGAGTTTTTTTCTGTGTACATTGTTATCTGCCTTTTTCCTTAATGAGGACTTTGTAAACATGGTTGGGATTCGGGTTGTGATGGCTTCCTAGTGAGTGTGCTCTGTGGCCGGGGTGGGAGAAGATGGGAATCTTGTTTGAAAGTTTGTTTATTTTTTGTAAATGGGTGATTTGGAAGGATGGATACTTGCTTCATTGACCATGCTTCTTGACATTCAGGAGCACAGCCCCCAGAAGCAGCATTCGGAATGAAATAAGGGCTAGGAGTCTTCAAAGTCTTTGTTGAAAGATGGTAGGTAGACTCAAGGCCTGGGAGATACCAGATATGAATTTTATGATGGGTTAAGAAGAAGACCTATGTAAAGAGAGCCAGGCAAATGGACTTTTGCTATCTTTTTGAAGAACACTGCAGCGAGACTGAATCAGAATGTCTGAGAAGATGCGTGTTAGACGCAACCTCTGCAAATGTCTGTCTGAAGCTTTGGGAGCTGCAGCTTTTTCCACCATCTATGCTATGTTCTCCAATAACACTCATGTGCTCAAACAGTTGTCACAGGCTTAGGTGAGAGGTACAGTCAAACCTCGGAAGTTTCTGGAAGTTCTGCTGATTTGTGCTTGGCTGCGTTTCAGCAATCAAACACCTAGAAAAGGCAAGGTGAGCTGAGACACTTCTGTGAATGTCAAGTATCTCAATACGGACTCGCAGGTCCGGTAAGGGACTTTCAAAATAGCTGCCGTGAGGCCAGTCAATGGCCACGACCCTCGGGTGGGTGTTGACAACGTGATAAGCGTGGCAGTTTGGAGCTGAGGGTGATAGTGTTTGGGTCTCCATGGAGACCTGGGGATAACACAGCCCAACAGTCATGTGCCTCTCTTGCTCCCTGCAGAGAAGAGCAGGAGATCCTCCGAGATTCCAAGGCAGCTCTGAGTGTGAACCATTTACGGTTCTAGCGAATGCTGTCCAGGCGCTCGTGCGCGTTTTTCACAACCACTTGGGTGGTGTTGACCTCCCAGGGCAGCCAGAAGACGTGGGAAAGCACGGGCTCCGTCCTCTGGCGGCCACTCCCCAGTCATCTGGACACTTGACAGACATGCTACTATCTATTCTGGAGCGCCTTACATAATGCCCCTGTCTAATGAGCTGGGTCTCCTCTGCTTGTTTTGGGGTGTGTGATAACAGCTGTCCCCCCCCACACACACACACACACACACACGCATACTCAAGTGAGGACCAACCATCTAATGACATTCCAGCCATTTCTGTCTTAGCTTCAGCCACATTTTATCTGCCCTAACCCACTCTCTGAGCTTAGCCCCCCCCCCTTTCCTCACAGCACCACCCCTACCCCCATGAAGCTACTGTGCTGATAACCTGACATTGGGGTCACCTGGCATCCAGGCTGTGAAAGGCTCACTGCCATAGGGAAAGGAACTAAGGCAGCTAACCAGGGAACAGTGCGGGTGGAGTGAGCCATGTGCACATGGAATGGATTGAAGTGACACTAGTGATGTATGAAGTGACAGTTTTGGGGCACCTTGGGGCACCTTCCTAGTGTCAGGGTGGTGCATGTGTAGACTGTACTGGATTCACACCACATTTACTGGAAGATCTCGAATCACGGAACCATCTCAGACCATAGCTTCTACCACACAATGGTGGGTGGTATGCAGAGGTGGAAAGTTCAGGTCCAGAAAGTAAAAATCCAGACCAAGATTTAGTTTCAACCAACCAACTGAATACTTTGTGAGTGATACTCAACTGCTTGGTTGAAACTAAATCATGGTCTGGATTTTTCTTTCCTGGAACTGAAATTTCCACCACTGGTAGTATGTGATGTAGTGGGTTAGGCTTCTGTGCTTGTCATCAGAAGGTTGCCAGTTCAAATCCCGTCCTTGGTAGAATAATCACGTTATCATTGAGCATGGCACTTAACACAATGTCTCCATAAGGTTTTTTTTTCCCCGTTTTTTTTCCCCTTATGGCGACCAGTTTCCTGGTCCCCATAAGGGAAAACTCAATTTTATAAAAATCTGTGACTGCAATGAAAAAACTAAAAATGCAAAAAGTCTTGTATTTTGCTTAGTTACTTATTGTTATGGTTAGGGCTGGGTGGGGGTTATGGTTGTCATTGTTCCCGTAGAAATTAATGAGCGGTCACCATAAACATATGTGTACCCGACTGTGTGTGTGTGTGTCTCAAATGAAAGCAAGATGGGATTTGACATGAGAAGCAATTCCAATATACCCGTATTTGCATAAATGGCAAATAAAGCATAATTTCATCATTATTTCACAACAAGTTATGAAATATGAATAATACTGACAAACTTTCCAGGGATATTTGTGAAGCTGAGAAAATATGACTCATAAAAGTTCTCAGACTAAAAAGGCTAAAAAGCTTGTACTTTATTCAACCTCAGTCTTTAGTCTTACTTGGGCCATATCCTGTTCCAACACACGTCACACATATGAAAAGCCTGACCTGAAATTGCATTTGGCCCAGACAAAAGAGAAAGCAGGTACAGTGAGAGACATTCTCCTAATGATACATTTCCAGCCTTCGCTTCTGCTTTTGAGGTAAGTCTTCTTGAGGTAAGCTAAGCAACATTTTGAAAGACAGCCAGGCGCTTCACTCAGGAAAGAGTCCCAGCATATAAATGTTATGTCCACAGATCTCTGCCTGCTTGGAAAGCCGGGGCTTCTACAATGAGAGCGTGCAGATGAGACCCTTAAAGTGCTCAACAACTGTAGCACCACGACTTCGCATCTCCACTGTGTTCCGTGTGTCTGCACCACGCTCCAGGTCCACTCGGACCATATTTGGACTTCGTTCACTGACCCGGAACCCCCACGAGTTTACGCCCGTGGCAAATGTGTTCCAAGAATGTCAACGACGAAGGACCGGTTGACCTCTGACCCTCAGGGTGTGTAGGGGCCACTACGGTGGGCCGCCCCTCGGCCTGGGGAGAAACTCCTGGATCTCTCGGTCCAGTCCACGGTTGCGCCTCTGAGCCTCATCGTGACTCTGCTCTGCGTTACGCAGCCGGATCTCTAGCGCCTCCCTGTGACGCTTCTCCGCCTCCAAGGCTGCCTGCAGCTCCTTCACCATGGCAGTGAGCTCGCTGTTCTTCTGCAGAAGGCTGTGAGGGCGGCAGGGAGGAAGGGAAAGTCAGTGGTAGCACCCAGCTAACCTCCGGCTGCTGGCTGTTTGCACGGTCACTCGTCGATACCCAGCGCTGCTGCTCACCTGCTGATCCGGTCCTCAGGCGAGTCCTGGCTGCTCTGCTGCCTCTCAGGCTGCTCCTTGGGCTTCTTTGCATCCGCACACGCCTCTAATGACTCTTCCCTGGATGACTGAGAGAGCACCAGGGAGCTCCCACTGCTGCTGCTGCTGCTGCTACTGCGCCTCCTGTCCGGGGGGGTGACCTGTATCGCTATGGCGTCCCTGGTACCCCCACACCCACCCTTTCCAGCCGATCCTGCCCCTTCCGGGGGAGTGACCTGTGTCGGCATGGCATCCTTGGTACCCCGACATGTGCCCTTTCCTGCTGAACCCGCTCTTTCAGATGGCGTAAGGTTTTGCAGGCCCAGAATTTCAAAGATGTCCTCTGAGAAGGTCCCTCTCTGGTTGCCCTCGTCCAGAGACAGCATGGGACTAAGCATGTCCCCCCCTCGTGTGCCCCGGCTAGGGTAGGAGCAGGTCGAAGCCGGGAGGGTGTGCGTGCGCTTGCGAGGACTCCCACTCCCCGACCATGGGTCCGTGGCTGAGGAGCAGGGAGGGATGCAGGAAGCAGGTGTGTCCACAGCGGCCTCAGACCCCTCTCCTTCCTCTCTCACACTCCCCAGTGTCCTGGCATCATCTTCCTCGGGGACCTCAGACAGAGGCAATATATCGGGCTGTGAAGACAGTGACAGTGAACACCTTGGTGGGGTTTGCCAGGGATGTGTGCCAAAGGTGCCAAGTTGTGAGTATCTGTGAGTAGTGACCAAATGTTCCCCATAATGTAATAAAAACCTAATTATTTCACATTGTGGGGACCATTTTTCAGGTCCCCACAATGATCTGTGAATGCAATCTAAAAACTAAAAATGGCAAAAGTCTCGTATTTTGTTTGGTTACTTATGATTAAGATTAGGGCTGGGTAGGGGTTAAGGTCATCATGTTGTGATTAGAGTTTTCCCCATAAAAATGAATGGAGAGTCCTCACAAAGAATAATTACAAACCTGTGTGTGTGTGTGTGTGTGTGTGTGTGTCTGTGTATTTTTTAAACAGTAGTTCTGTGTTTCAGTGTGGTTTGGATGACCACCACCTGTCAGAAAGCCCTCTTTCTTCTTGACAACTTTCAAGTCTTCGCTGGGATTATATTGTGGGACATTTATATGATTATTCTAAGGATGGAAGCTGGGATGTTGTTTTTTGCCTTTGCCTGCTCCCCATGCACTGCCACACAGGGGTACAGGAAGTGGGGGGCACAAGGGGGACTTGTACCTCTCAATATTTAATATGGATTAATTCATCCCCCCAAATAGACCTTTGTATTTCAATTAAGTTGTGTCCCATCAATATGACGGAATGCAATAGTTTTGCAAGGAAACACAAAACTATTTCAAAATAATATTTTCCAACCCTGACCTTTTAGGGCAGCTGTTCTCAATCGTCTTCCTCGAGCCCCCCCTGCCAGAATGTTTTCATTCCAACCCACACTGCTTTCAACCTGCCACATTCATTATTAGCCTATTCAGCACCATATGAGCCTGACTAAGGCAGGGTTGGAATGAAAACATTCAGAACCTCTGTCTGTGTGATTTTGTATGCATTCAGTTGCAGTCATGTGATTGGCTCTCTGCATTAACGAGCAGGTTACCTAATAAACTAGCCCCTTAGTATAGGCAACACGATCAGCACAACCTGGTTAGACTCACCGAAGCAGAGCAGAAGTCTGCAGAATCCCACCCCACGAAGCTTCGGGGGGCGCTGGCTTTGCTCTCGCTGTTTTTGGAGGGCGGCGGGGGGGTCACGTCCTTGGAGGGGGGAAATAGCTCTTCATGCTGCCGGATCATGGCTGTCATCAGCTTCTGTATCTGTGGCGTGCCTGCGTGGAACACACATCATCCGCACGCATGCTGAAAGGCTGGCAGGACAGCACGTAATCGACCTGTGTGTGTGTGTGGGGGGGGGGGGCTCACTCTTCATCATGGTGACGGGGTCCTCGATCTGAGGTTTGAGTAGGTTCACCCCAAAGACGGTGGCCAGATTCTCCACACTCATCTTGTTTACCTTGGAGTTCAGCTGCACTTCATTCAGGAACCTTCACAGGGACAAGCAAACACACTCAGACTGCAGGCTGACTGGCGCCTGAAAAGCAGCGTGAATATCAAAGTATTGCCTACACTTTAAAGTTAACCAGACAGCGTAACAAACCATTTTGGTCTTAAGGCAGCAATTACAAGCCAACAAAAAAATATTACTGTTTGCACAATCATTTACATCCCAGAGAAACTAAACTCAGGCAGAAGGGCAGCCTGTTGCTGGTCGTCTGGAAAAACTGCCTATTGCTGGTCTGAGTTGTAGTAGGAAGTTCAAAAACATACCTGCAGACGTAGCTGAGAAGGTTGTAATTGGCTTTTGGTATAAAGGAGATCTGCATCTCCAAAGCATCCCGGCCCTGAAAGCAGGATCACCTACTATCACTGTTAACCTGATACACACTGAAGCTAAATCTCCCAGCAAGATCCCTGTACAGACCAACTTATCCAGCCGGGGAACATTCAGTGAGAAATGACACCTAAGTGTGATGCAGATACAGCCGCTATTGGGTGTGGCTGCTTTCTATTCCAAACAAGAGGATCAGTGTCATACCTGCTCTGTGGTGTTTTGTTTTGTATTCTGAACACTGTGCTAACACTGAACATTGTCCAAACAGTGAATACTGACTTGCTGAACACTGCCCAAGCACTGAACACTGCCTTAACACTGAATACTGATATGCTGAACACTGCCCAAGCACTGAACACTGCCTTAACACTGAATACTGATATGCTGAACACTGTCCAAATACTGAATACTGACTCACTGAACTCGGGATAACATATTTGCATCAGTAAAATCCAATTTATTAATGTAGAATAGTAAGCTAAATTATTTTCCTTTTTTAATTTTGCATAATTTATTTACTGTAGCTCACAACTGGTGTTATTAATGTTTTCCGGGGTGATAAAGCTTACAGACCACAGGAGGCTGTGTGGTTTATCACGAACCCGCTCGCATGCAAAAGCAAGGTTTTTTTGTGTCTGTGTTTGTGAATTAAGCTAAAATATGGCTCCTGGATCATCCGACATCTAGGAATAATAAAATCGCATTCATACGTTTACATGTTGAAGAATGTTTGGTAATGAGCCGGCTGAAGTTTATTTGTTTCATTTAATTTGATTAAATGTAACATGTCTAGCGATTTTCAAAATGATATATATTTCAACAATCATGGTGCCCGCTATGGTAAGGTTAATTAGCAGTGAGTTCTTTCGGGGCATAACTAAGCCAGTAACTGGTTAAATATTACTCCTTATAATTTTGTTGTCTTTGCCCATGTTTTACGGAGCCAACATTGAAAAGTGTGATTAGTGACTATTGCAAACTCTCTTTTGTGTCTGTGAAGGGAGAAGAATCGCCAACTTGTTCTTATGTTTATGGGAAAGAGAGGAAGAATTCAAATACAGTATTTTGTTTTTTGCTTTGCTATTTTTTTCTCTAAATGAAAACATAAAAGTTTTTTTTTGTTTTGTTTTAGAGCAAGTTTTATTTTGTTGTTTAACTGATATTCACCTCCAGGCTGTATTCACCGTCACCCACCTCTCCTATCATACTGCACTCCCCACTGGGTCAGAACAGCGGAAATCAGACTGTCACCTCGGTTACTGCTGCTGTACCGCACCTGGGCCTGCATCTCCCTCACCGCGCCACATCACATCAACACGTCAAAACACAACACTGCGGGGCCTGGCCTGCACTGTCCGCTGGAGTTACCCAGCCGGAAGCAGCTCATGGCCAGGGTCACATAAATATTTAATTATTAGCAGAAACCCTATGCCTTTATTATTTAGAAATATGAACAATAATTTTCTATTTAGATTGATTCCCCCTCTCTAAACTTTCTCAAACACTCTCTCTCATCTCCAGTTCTCCATTGTTGACAGTGGCCAATTCACTGCAAGTCTCTAGGCCGAGTCTTGCAGGAGTTGGAGTGGTGTCCGTCAATGCATCGCATCGTACCGTGACGAATCGCAATAGGGGTGAATTGTGTTGCATTACAACAGTAGTTGCTTCATACGTATCATACGTAATGTGTTGGATCTTTGGAGATCCATCAAGAACACTGAGCCCCTGAACACTGTCCTAACACAGGACATTATCTTAGCACTCAACGAAAAGGTCACTGCACCCGCTGTCATTAAAATGCTGCTTTTCAGAGGTGTTCAGGCTCTCAGAGTCTGTCGGCAGGAGGCTAAAACAGAATTTCCATTCGAGAGATGAGAGATGAAAGTGAATCCGAAAACATCTGAAGATATGAAATATGGCTGATGCAAATGAAGCAGGTGGGGGCCAGCTGCAGGTGGAATCATATACTCTAAACTAACCAGCTAACCATGTGACGCGTTGAAAAAGGTTGAAGCCTGATGAATGTCATAACCATGCCATAAAGTGGTTAGTGCCTTTCTGACTGTGCTAAATGATCAAGTCTGTGTGAAAGAAGCTCTTAATGAGTCGAGAATGCCTGTGTTCACATGGTTCACATACAAACATTGCAATACTGTAGCCCCCATGCCGTGGGTGGAGCACCTGCTGGGTGCAGGACGATCAAAGCAGGGAGCCTTTCACCTGCGGTATGCTTTGCTCGACATAAAGGGATTCTCCTACCTCCCTGCCATTGGGATTCAGCTGGTGGGTGCAGTCCAGGAAGCTTTGGTACTGCCCACAGGGCACCACAGGCTCCGGCAGCTCTCGCAGGTACAGCTTGAGCAACGATGCCACCGTGTGGACGTCTGTGTCACTGCAGAGCAAAGCGAGTCACATTGACACCGCAAGCGCAGAAACGGCAGCTCTCTTCACATGTCAGATTCCGCGAAGGCCTCGAAAGGGCAACGGGGGATTTAATTTATGCACCGCGAGTCGCACTGCTTGCCAGTCTCATGGCGTTTGCTGAGCAATGAACATCGGAGAGGTCGACGTCAGAGAGACGGGATGTGGTTAAGGCGGCGGGGCAGGGCAAAGTAGGGTGGGGAGAGCGTTCAGCCGTTCCTGCCGCCTATCTGTCGATCTGTGTGAGTGTATGAGTGTGCATGCGTGTGAACAACTCTTTGCGTTACTTCCTCAAGATCTGCCGACTGCAGTGCAGAGCTGACTGTGCCCGACGCCTGAGTTCTGATCGCTCATATGAAGCTTTATTTAATTGATGGAGGAGGCCAGCAATGGCATCCTCTGTCAAGAGGCCAGAACCTGGTCTTTGCTATTGTACCTCCATACAGTGACGGTAACTCGCGCTTTCAGTAAAATAAGCCTGTGATGAACCGTAGTTCTTTTGTATCGCCTGGTCCGACAGGGGCAAACGACGGGTGATTTTTTTTCTACCCGGACACTGGGTTGAACCTACTGCTGATGTGGCATAGATGTAACAAGGCAAAATTCTAACTCATTGCTTTATAATTTTATAATTATATATTTCAAAATAAAATAATATCATTAATAATAATTGTTCTATTAAAATTTAACTTTCTGTCTTTCAACAATAACATTAGATCTTTCATGTCATTTCAGCTAACTAATTTTACCATTAGCTAGCTAGCTAGTTGACTGTCAGCCAAGTAAGGCATAACGTATTTTCAGTGGGTAATTATCACACCAAAGTGCAGTACAGTTCACTGGTTCACTAGATATTCATCTTCTTATATTTTATTGTCAAGTGATTATATTTAATAATGGTGTATATATGCCTTGCGACTGTAGCCTCTGGGATAGGCTCTGGACCCCCCATCACCCTGAATAGGACAAGCGGGTACAGAAAATGGATAAATGGATATATATCCATTAAAGATGGTTTTAATATGTTTTTGATAATAATATTTGACTAAAATGAACAACCCAGTATCAATGGTAAATTTACACCAGGATTGGGTAGGTGTAAGAAATCAGCATCATGCTTAAATTGGTTTGAAATAATCCAGTGTGTGTTCTGTCCAATATTTACCCAGCGCTGGGTTGCCAGTTAACCCAGATTAGGCTGTGTTTAACCCGGTGTTTTTGAGAGTGTAAGCCTGAACCAAAGGCAAAGGTCACCTGGGGAAGGACGGCCTCTCGCCGGCGTCGAAGGCATCCCTGAACTGCTTGACTTGGTTGTCTTGACCCGGCAGACGGAAGATGCCCTCCTCGTTCAGGCCGTGCTCACGGATGAAGTCAGCGCACTTCTGCACCAAGATAGGCACCAGCCGGGGTCCAAACCTCTGCTCATGGGCAATGGTCTCACTCAGGCTCCTGCCAAAGACCGCTGAGGCGACACAGACAGAGCAGGTTACAGTGGGGCCACTGGCGAGAGAAATGCGCAGGCACTGCGATGGGCAGCCACTGCAATGGGCAGCCACTAGCCATACATGGGGTCTGGCACCTATACTAAGAATCAGGGGTGTAGGAACCAGGGGTGACAGGAAGTACGTGTATCCCCCCAATTTTTTAATTGGCTTCATTCACCGACCCCCCCCCCCCCCCCCAAAAAATAGACCTTTACATTGAAATGACTAAGTTGTTCCCCCTAATAGCAAACTCTCTCCTACGCCCTTACTGACAATGTGATTAGTATCCTCTACAGGACCCACAGTGTGACCCATCATGCTGGCAGACAGTGGCCATAGGGCTCATTTACCAAACTGCGTAAATTTCATCATGAAAATTAAAATAAATAAATCATCAAACCGGGCGTACAGACATTTCCCTTTCTAAACGCCGGAACTGTCATGTAAATGTATGTAAGTGCGTGAGCCTGAGGTCCTGCTCAGCTGCCAGCCACAAATAACCATAAATGGTCAATGCAAAGGAGCTGCATGTATATTTACTATGGGAAACCGAGCTTTTAGTTGCTCTGCTCCCCTTCTCTGGAATTCACTACCACCTACTATTAGGAATTTAGACTCACTTCCCTCATTTAAGAGTAAACTCAAAACCCATCTTTTCAGACAGGCTTACTCACTTTAGTACACATCTCTCATCTTAGTCGCTGTTTTATTTTATTTATGTGATTTAATTGTTTTATGTATTTTTATTTGTTTTTATTGTTTATGCTCTGTAAGGTGTCCTTGGGTTTTTGAAAAGCGCCCAAAAATAAAATGTATTATTATTATCAAGCCTTTCTGTTTGCAAAGTAAATTAAAAAAAAAAACAATAAGAGGATTTTTGAACAGCGCCAGGTAGTGGCGTGAAAAAATGTTATATTTGGGAGCCTAAGCTGTTGTTGTTCATTTGATAAATTTACTTTGATTTAAGGTGCCCTTATCGCAATGCTGGTGCAGTCGATTGACCCGGTTACACTTGGAAAACTGGACATTTGTGCATGATTTGTTCACGGGGAATGAGTCTCTTACAGCAGGGGTGTATGTAGGTTTTTGCTGCAACTCCCTAATTAGATTACTAATTGTGTGCCTGATTGGCTGAAGAGTCCTCACACCTGGGATTTACCTACAGTAAAGGTTATTCCCATGAGCGTAAATTACTGGGTGGAGTTGTAGCCTCACCAATAAATCAAAACCAGCTAATACAGCTCCCCCAGTAATCATGTTTCCCCCATAATGGGTGGAGACCTCAACCCTCCCAATGTTCCAGCCAAAATTACGCCCTTGGTTATCCCACAAACGTACATAGACACTGGCCCTTTGAAGATAAGATTGCCCACCCCTGCCTTACAAGAACTAAACACTCACGTTCACCTCCCTGTAAAGATTTGTTCTTTTCATTCTATTGCTTGTCCTCAGAAATATGATGTGAATGCTGCTTCCCTCCTTGATTATGGCCAGTGAAAGTGAGGCATTTAAGGGCGTGACATATAACTGGCTGGAAAACTAAACCTTGGAGTGAACATATACAACTACAGTGAACAACCGAGAGTCGACGGAGTGAACTAGCTAGCGAGTGAGTCGATGGTCTCTCCACTCCTTTGGGTCTCTCATTCTCATTCTGAACGAGAGACCCGAAAGAAAGACTGAGTTGGTGAGTGAGTCGGTGAAGGAGAGACTCAGATAGGTTACTGAGAACCATACTTTGTCGTGACCGAAATACACCATCTACTGGTGTTGTACATAGCCTACATTTGCAGTGACTTACCGTATGATGCAATAGAATTTTTGAAATGCAACATATTAATTAACGTTTAAAAACATTTTTAACCAAGCATGGTTAGCGTTTGGACTAGTTAACTGATTATGTGATAAGCTGTTTGGGTTTGCATTTTTAACAAGCATGAGTATCTAAGGCACAGTGTTGAGAGACTTAGAATATAATTAAATAACAAATATTATTTTTCTCACATGGCTTATTGGCAGTATTTAGCTTACTCCTTAGTACTATTTAGCCTAAATAATAGGGTATTGTTTTCATGTATTGGAACATAAATGTTACAGATCTGTTTTATACAAATGGGAAGTGCCACTGAATGAGTTGGTGAATGAATCAGAACAAATATTTTAGGTGAAATTAATCAAATGAACAAAAAATAGTAATTTTGTCCATCACAACTGGACATTGCTGGAAATGTTGTTTTTACGTTTGTCTGTTCACACACATTTGTCCCCACAACGTAGGGAAACATATGTTTAATGCAAAACAGACAAAGTGCAAACACATATATAGTGCAAACAGAAAACTAATTAGTAAAAATAATCAGGATGGTCCATGAATACTAGTTTCTGTACATATATGCATTTTTTGTTTAATAAATATTTAATTTTGCGTAAAAAGTTGTTTATACATATTTTGTGTGTCTTTTTGTGCGTACGCAATTTTAATAAATCATAAGTTCTCAACTCCCACTTCCCATATGGCTTAGATATAAATTCATAGGTTAGCATTTTACATTTGCAGGCTTATTAGTCTCTGACCAGGTGAGACCATGTACATATATGTGTGGGTCTATGTGAGCTGCTGATGTTCACATCGTACGCACACGTACCTCCGCTGGACTGCGCCCCAAGAACCCTGCGAATGGCTCGAACCCATTCCTCCATCTCATTCTGAGAGTTGGCCATCAGCACGCAGGGGTCACGCTCGCGGTCACCGTTGCCTTTTGTCACACAGAGAAACATTTTACATGCAACTGCAAAAAAACAACTTTATATTGAGTCACTTAATAATACTAATAAGAAGAAGATTGACGTGAGAGCTGTGCTACCTGTGTTTCAGATAGCAGGAGCTGTGATACCTGTGTTACAAATAAGCTGTGTTAGAAATAAGCTAAATGAGAGCTGACCTGGTATAATTTCGAAAAGGAACTTCCCCTGCTCATCTGCGTTTGATGGGAGCTCATTCACTTGAGTTGATTTCAAAGAAATGGAGCCCTGTGAACACAGATGAAAGCAGGATGGGGAAAATATAGATCTGTTAAATTCCCATGGTGCACCATGATTTTGTTCCCTGGCAGAGTTTTCAGATGACAAGAGTCTGTACAATATAGCACGCTGGTCTCAAGTGAAGGGAAGAATTCAGGCCTACATCCCTACGGGTAGACCGATGTAAAATACAGAGTGAGAGTTCTGCACCAAACCAGACTTTCAGCCACGGACCTCATAACCTTTAAACACAAATATCCCCATGACGAGCACAACTGAAATATCCTTCGCTGAGCTATTTGTATTTAAGTTATAATTTAAAAATGTATCTGGTGCAGTAGAGGGAAAGATTGCAATGTTTTAAAATGCATGTGTGTTCTCTGGGATTCAAACCCACAACCTTTGCGTCATTAGCTTTTTAACTGATCCCACACTCCATACGCACATCAGGTATACATCATACATACATCAGGTATACATCATACATACATCAGGTATACATCATACATACATCAGGTATACATCATACATACATCAGGTAAAAAAAAAAAAAGCCCAAAGGCCTCTGAACAGAAACAGTGAGTCACCCTGTGCAGTCGTATCCAGGGGGGCCATCCCCCCCCCACCCCTTACCTGACATGAGCTGTCTTTGTCGTCCTTGTGGTAGTACAAGGTGTGGCCCCGCAGCACGAAGTAACGCGCCTGCCAGTTCTTCACGATGGACCTCTGCTTCTTCAGCCAGCCCGTCTTCAGGGGTCTCTCCAAGGTCCGCGGCGAGCCGGGCCGGCACGAAGCCGGGCTCCCCTCGCCAGGCATCACGCTCTTGGACCGTGCTTCACAGCCCGGGAGAGACGGTGCAGAAGAAGCTCAGTAAGGAGGACGGCAGATGAAAACTAAACCCGCAGATGCAGACCCAGCGCCGCTTCCTATGTGACTCTGCAGATGCAGTTCATGTGGCCGGAACGGAATTCAATCGAAATGGCCGATAAGAGGCCAGTGTCAGCTCTGTTCCCGATGACGAGAGCAGCAGCATTCCGCTCGCCGAGCAGCAATAGCAGCACAGCAGCAACCCTGCCGTCTGACCCCAGAAACTTACTGCTCACCACAATCACTTCAGTCTCGAAGCAGGAAGCATGCGATTCATTAAAGGAGTATCGCTACTGTTAGAGAGAGAGATAAAAGACGGAAGGCCGCCAGCTCGTTCTGTGTGGTCAAAGGCGTGTGGCTGCATCTGTGTGGTCGCCGCTGCCGTGACCACGGCAGCGTGGCAGCAGAACCATCAACGTCCATCTCCAATTGATTAAGCATCACAGAAGTGGAAGTCCAGGGTGTTGGTGACGGGAAGGGGGGTGGAGAGTGCTCACACAGCACCACATTTGCAGGGGGGTGGAGATGAAGCAGAAAAAATTGTAATCTCCTCATTAGATAAGCAGGAAGCTGCCATAAGCCACCCCCAGTTTAATGTCGCTCCTTGCAAACCAGCAGCTGCTTGGTTCAAACCCCAGCTCCACAGACTCTCAGCCCAGGAAAGGCACGCAGACTGCGGCACAGGGAACAGAAATGCAGCTCTGTATCTAAGCGTGGTGATGAGATCAGGCCCGCTTGAGCTCCAAACCTGCCAACTTGCCATTTTATCTCTGAGAAGATAAGCAGATATGAACCTCTGCTGTGTGTAAATGATGAATGTCTACCTCTTGAGGGCAGTGTGTGGCCCAGCGGGCTACGCTTCTGTGCCTGTGATTGGAAGGTCGCTGAATCGAGCCCAGCCTGGGCGCACCTGCGGGTGCTTGAACAAAGCCCTTAACCCCCCCCCCCAGCTCCCTGGGTGCTGCTGTGGGTGGCTGCCCTTCATGGCCAGCTTGCTGTCACCTACACAGAGCGAGTTAAGGGAGGTGTAAAGAGAATTTACCCATGGAGATCAATAAAAAGTATGAATTATTATTTACGCGTCACCTGCCACTGAAGTCGTATAAATGGCATGAGAAGCGTGTCACGCCCGGGCGAACAAGCCGAGTGCCGCTTCACCCTCGCTGTCCCCGGCTACAGACGCCATTATCGGCAGACGCAGAATGCAAAACGCAGTGACTCAACACAGGCTGCCGGACTCATGACTCACAAGACTGAGGACGCCGGAGTCAGCTTGCAAGACTCAGCCTGGCATATAAAGCCCCTGCTTCCCTGATTGTGGTCGAACCCTGTGAGATTCCAGCACCTTGGTGTCCAAGATCAGGTAGATTGAGTGAAACGGGCAGCGGCGTATGACCTTTTGAGCAGGTGACCAGTGGGATCAAGCAGAGAATGTGGACACCAGCTGTTAAGAAAGCTGCCTACTGTATGTTGTTCTATGCTTCACAGCACAGTCTGCTCTGGAATAGTGCATGTTTACCCGCTTATGGAAACATGGGGATCAGATGGGGATAAACGTTAAAGAGACCATCACCGACTCATGCAGGAACTGATAAAGGTTCCTCCACATGGTCAGCTTCTGCGTTTCAGGTCTTTACAGAGACTGGACAAGCTGGACTGGCTGCACCCTCTAACTCAGCATGACAGCAGTTTGCTTCCTGCTTCTGATATTGAGACACAATTCATGACTGACAGCATGACATAGGAAGTGTCACCAAAAACAAGTTAGTGATAAATATCTTTACGGACTATGCTGTTAGATACTGCGGGTCATCTGTTCAAAGAGCTGAACTGAAGCAAGAGAAATGGTCAAATCTTTTTTTCATTTTAAACTTCTCAAGGTCTAAAAGAAGGCTAATTATACGCACAGTCTGCATTCTTAATCTGTCTGTTTGATTCTGTCAGTTTTTGCACAGTGAGGTGGGGAAGTGTGACAGCGTGCAGAGACAATCAGCAAAGCAGTAAAGTCATTAGTATGGGCAGGAGGATTAATTACAGCAATGCGCAGAACCCATGAAGAAGCATTCGCATTAGGTGTCAATACTGTCCAGATATCCCATTCAGTGCTGCCCAGCATTGAACTGACAGCCCACCCCTCATCTCTGACTCGGGCTCCACCCCTTACCTCTTTCTGCTTAAAACAAGTGTGACCCACCATGCTACAGTAAAACACCAGGAATGAGTACTACTGAGTACTACGATATGAGTACTATTATTAGACTGCACAGCAGTGGGCACCTCTGTGACTAGTCAATGTGACTAAACTGAGCAGAGTTACAGCAAATAAATGACGTCTGGTTTCAGGACTTGACATGTGACTAAATGTGTTATGGTATAACGGTGGTGGGGGGCTTTGCTGCCCCCCCCCCCCCCATTTCTGTAGGGCTGATTACAGCTCTGCCATCTCATACAGCCCCTATCATGCTGCATATTTCATCAGTTTCCGGATAATAGAGTTTGACAGCATCAGGGGAAGCGGGAGGAAATCTGAAATGGGGTCAAACTAAACACGCAGTTCAGCAAAAGAGCCCATCGTTACTTTTTCGCAGCACATTGGGTGTATGGAGGCTGCGGGGAAAGGGCCTCACATCCTCTGACTCATTTCAGTCATTGCAGTCAGTGTTCAGATTCATTGTGCTTCACATGCATGATTAAAATATGTAACCAGGACAGAGAAGCTCTATAAAGGACACGAGTAAGATGGCAGTCGAAAAAAAATGCAATAAAAAGGAAAGAAGGAATCTAAAAATAAATTCTAAATCAATATGCTCACAAAGAATGATTTAAAGTTTAAAATAGCTGTATATTTGTGTGTGAGGACACAGCAGGGCTGGGAGCAGGTAGCTGACACCGTGGAAGAAGATTTTATATTAATGCAGAAGAAAATCAGAATAGAAGTTTTTTTTTCTTTCCCATCATCATGGAGCCTGAGAGAATGAGCAATGCCCTGTTGACTTACAAGGCCCAGAAGACCATGGCCAGTTTAGTGCCAGGAACACACAGAGAGGAACAACTCTCAGATTAAATCCTGGTAACGTAACCCGCATTTCGGCCCTGAAAAGCACGCCTGTCAAGTAGCGCTCAAAAAAGCGTGCCCTGAGGGTTGTAGTAAGCACACGCTTCAGTCAGCCACACGAGTCGACACCCAGCACGTCTATTAAAAACAGAAAATAAAACTCGGCTCAGGAACGAGTTTCACTGCATCTTTACCACACCACCTGCAACCATGTCCGCAGTTGAGGTCATAGCGGTTATCAGGTATGGAGGCAGTGTGGGGTGAAGGGTCAGTTCTTCAAACAGACAGCGGCACCAACTCATGAGCCCCCCCAGCCAGCATCACCTGCCCCCTGACCAAACTTATCAAGGGTACCGCGGAGATTCTCAGCCCCTCACTCCCCCGCCTCACAAGCACTGGCGCAACCCCTTACCTATTTTCGCAGATTCAGCTCGGAAGGCACTGAAGTCCCAGTTACGTGGTAGCTTAAGAGACATCCTTGTTATATCCTTGTTATGCGGAGGGTCCGTCTCCACGCACACACATACTCACACGTGCCACACAGACACACACTAGCTGTACATGCTGTCGCCCGGTGGCTCTCCGGCTCGCTCACACGTCGGCCCCTCGCCCTCTCTGCACCTTACTTCCTCTTTTCTGCGCACGGATGTTTCTTCTACGTTTCCGAGCACGTTCATTCATGCCCCGCCACTCCCCTGCACTCCTCCCAAAAGCCTCGCTTCCTGCTCCATAAACACACATGCATGCCGTTTGCTGCCACTTGTGGGGACTCTCACTGTGCAGTTCAGGCTCTGACCCTGATGCTCGGGTGCCGTTTTGTTTTCCATTACTCACGAGGAAATGGAACATCACTACATGCCAGCCTGTGGCAGTCGTGCGCACGCACACACAGAGACAGACACACACACAGACAGAACATCGCACACATCATCTGCACTGAGGACTTCCTGTTTTGCCACCGGTGGAGCCCAAGTGTTGGAGTTCCTACATTTAACCGGAACATTATCAGCCTGAGTCTCAGTGCTCTGCACGTTTTACAGTGCCTCTACATTTAACCGGAACATTATCAGCCTGAGTCTCAGTGCTCTGCACGTTTTACAGTGCCTCTACATTTAACCGGAACATTATCAGCCTGAGTCTCAGTGCTCTGCACGTTTTACAGTGCCTGCCGTCAGGTGAAGAGACCGCCCACTGGTCTTCCACAGGACCCGAGTTGGTTTCATCCTCACATCTGGCCTCGTTTGCTGTATGACAGTCAGTGCTAAGCTCCTTCGGTTCATTTCCTAAACTGGGCTGCCCTTTAAGTGTATCCAGAAATCTCCTTTTTCAAAAGATCCCCAGCATTCACTGCAGCCCTGGAAAAGGCAAGCGGGCCGGTCAGAAAAAGAGCATTCAGACACAACATGGGGGAGACGACTGACCCAGAGTCCCAGAAGGTTCAGTTATGATCAGTATTTTTATTATTAACCATTTAACAGCTCAACACAGCACTTACTGGAGGAGCAAGAGCATTGTTTCAGGGTCAAAAAATGCTAAACGTAACATCATAGCACAGTATAATAAAGACAATAATAATAAAATTACAATAATAACCTTTGAGCAGGTGCAAAGACCTGAGGCAGTGACATTTCTTAGACATACAGGAAACATTACAAGTGTTATTAACATAGAATGTCTTTGTGACTATGTTCCCTGTTTGTTAGCTGCTAGCAGGCCAGTGTATGTAACACACGTACCACTTACTGTATGTTTGACTTTAAGGATAGAGACCCAACTTTAAAACGGGCTCTAAGCAAACCAGCCGATAGCAAACTGGAATATGTAACGATGACATGAAGTATTTAACAATTAAAAAAAAAAAAACATCAGATTATCATCGTAACAAGTATAACATTTGACAGCTGAGCTCCCTCTGCTGGAGAATCTAGGAACATTGGAGAAAAATACAGTTTATATAACTAATTGAAAAATTAACATAATAAAAAAAACTTACAATAGTAAATCTGAAAAATATTACCTTTATGGCACAGTAGGAAATTACTACAGCTGTATGTTTTTTTTTTTTAATATATATTTGTGGGGTTTACTTATGTGTTTCTCCACATCTCAGTGATTGTATACAATATCATTACAATAGCATTAGGTCAGTATTATGTCTCTTTGACAGACAAACTAAATGATTTCTAATGGCACACAGAGAGCAAAGCCAACTCTGTGGAACACAAATAAAAATGGCCATGCCGACCTTGACTGACACCAGTAAACATTCATTAATAAACGGCCTCTATCAATCACCCAAACCATCAATGAGTTCTACAACAATTAATAAAACTACACAATTTCACCTCTAAATAGCTGATTTTGATATGACAACATTTGCAAGCAGAATAAAAAAAAAACATGAGCTGCACATTAGATATTAAGGTGAAGAGAAAACAACATGATGAGACCGACAGAGGAGTTTATTCTTGTGGCACAAATGGGAGCCTGAGGGCAAACACAGCCATGCTGTGACAGGCCTCCCTCTGATTGGTTAGGGTCATGTGATCAGCGGAGGCGAAGCACACGGGGAACAGAATGCCTGACTGCACAGCAGAGGAGAGCTGATCCCATGGATGTTCTGAAACTGATTTAAACCTTTGAAAAAAGTGGGGGTGTGGTTCCTGTGTCCACCAACAGGCTGACAGAATTCACGTTCGGTCTGCTGGGGAGACAAACATGAGGCAGATGACCACCTTGGCACAGGTTCACACAGCCACCCACATACTGTTCTGATGTGCCCGCTGTACTGCTTTTGCCTGGTGTCGGTGTCATTGGGCCAGGGGGCTGCTACTTTGACAGGGATCCTCCTACACCAAAGATACTTCACCACCAAGCCTGTAACAAACACTTTCATCAGACCAAGATCAATCACCTTTTCAAATGGCAGCCGGCGGCTTTGAAGGACGCGCCAGTGATTGTTTCCGATGAATGGAGGTTACACATACACAGCATGGGGAAAAACAGCGAGCGCTTTCAATGTCATGGGCGGCCACAACAAACAAATGGGTTTAAATTCATTTTAAGTGTTTCATTATTATTATTATTATTTATTATTACCAATGAAACTGCCCTTGAGTATTATTGACTATCAGACGAGCAAACCAGACCTTTGAGTGGAGATGTGCATTTCATGGCCAAATCACGATCCCGGACCCATCAGATTACCTTCTGCCTCTGGCACCCTGCAGCCCACGACCCTTGACCTTTCACCATTGACCAATAGCCAAACAACACACTTCTCACTGGAGACTGCTGTCAGGTCCATTTAGTTCATCTGAATCAATAAGACACTCAGTAATCCCTCCTGCACAGCTGCAATGATTCTCCAGTAAATCAATCAACTGCACTGGTGTCAAACAATGGTGGAACATCTCCGAGAGCAAAAGCCAGTATGTACTCAATAGGGACCCACTTCAAAAAAATATCTGCAGACCGACCGGAAAAATAAAACAAAGTAAAAATGTTTAAAAAATATTGCCATCGTGTTCAAGCATAACCCGTATATCAACAACAAGAGAAACAGCAGATAAAACCAAGGAATTCAAGGAGACCCATAGACACTAGAGCCCAAGAACAGGAGGACAGGACAGAGGTGCTTAGAAACTAGTATTGCAAACACAAAATTAAAACTAATTTAAAAACAGGTGATACGAGTGCCAAACAGTAGTCGCTGTATCAGGTAGTCAATCTTCACAGGACTTGCCCAAGTTCAGGCATGTATGTAGTTCATGAAACATGCTTCTCATATTTTCCCGAAAAAATCCTACAAAGACAAACACCGATGACTTTCCAGATCCGGAGAAAATACCTGAAAGGTCATTTTATGACACTAATCAGACGACCATGTCACAATGTAGAATCGTGGCAAAAACGCCTCATTTCAAACATGAGACTACTGGAAATAATGTCGGTAAAGACACCTCCAGGTCAGAGGGGGCGCTGTTCATCTGGTTAGAAAGGCTGCAATGCACTTTGCTGACCTTGGCACTGGACTCAAACTTTAAAATAACGCAGAGCTTTCTGGTGGCCTGTGTACACCCTCAACTCGGGACGGCACACAAAACTCCCAGGTTCCCTCAGGATTCACACGAATCTGTGATTCTTCTCCCCACACCTGCACACGCTGACTGGCTGAGCCTCAGCGTGAGCTTGTAGCTTTTCACACGCGTGTTCCATAAAGCAGTTCACGTGAAAAACATACCATGGGTCAGTGAGTGGATTTCTGCTACCCTACATATAAAACAACATACAGAAACATTATATAGAGACCTGTACGTATCAAATAATCTTTCTGATGAATATTCTACTTCAATAATATTCAAAACGAAACTTCAGCACACCAACATATAAATATATATTGCAGTAAATTGAACAGTTAATAAACAGAAACTATTCTGCGGAGGAGGTCACACCGTAAATGCCACGGACAGCCCATTCTTGATCCGGGCTCTTCCCGAGGTTTTGTGTAACCGTGACACTTACAGCTGGCCTCGCAGCCGAGCTCGAAAACAGTTTGGCTAAGACGAAACGTACAACTGATTACCGACAACCCGCGTGCTGAATGGAACGGCCCACGGCGATGGCCTCTGCGTCCCAGTGCTACCAGCCGCAGGCCCACCCCCTCCGACTCCGCCTACTCCACCTACGCCGCCACCTCATTGGCCGGCAGCAGCCCTCTCTCCGTCAGGTGAGCCTTCAGAGAGTTAAAAATTTGGAGCTGCTGGTCCAGACGCAGGGCGAGGAGCTGCTGGATGACTTTGGAGGGGTTCGGACCCCTGGGGAGGGAGCAGAATGAGAGGAGGGGGAGGAAAGAAAAGAGAGAGAGAGAGAAAGAGAGAATGAGCTCAGACAGGCCACTTTTTCATCACGCAGGACAACGTCACCTGATGAGGAATCCAGACTCCCTCGCTGCACCCACCTGATGAAGCTGGCGATGTAGACGTTGACGAACGTGGCCATCAGGTACTGGCAGTCAAAGCGGTCCATGATGCCGCCGTGGCCGGGGATGGTGTTGGCAAAGTCCTACAGGGACAGAGAGAAGGGGGAAGGTGAGGAGCAAGGACAGCAGGGCCGGGACCGGCACCCGTCTGCAGTACCTTCACCGAAAAGCCCAGTATCCCAGCAGAACACTTCACCCATCCTCTGTGATAGGCTGGCATACCTGGGCACTAGCGCCCCCTGCTGGGCATTTACTGGTACCACACATACAGTTACCTTAATCTTAAAGGCTCGCTTGAAACCACTGGCAAAAAAGCCCCCAAACGGGCCCACGATGGAGGCGAAGGCAGAGAGGGCGATGCTGTGGATCTGGAAGGGGTACATGTGGACGGTGGCCTGGAATGAGGGATCGAGAGAGAAAAAGAGAGAGAGAGGGAGATGCCTTTGGGAACCCACGGGGAGTGTAATCTTCTACAGGTCTCTGGAGAACACAAAACTCCAGACTTAAGCATGAAGTCTTAAGCAAAGGCCGAAGGCGTGTGATGCGACTGATCGTTGGGCGTGGCGTGCGTACCCAGCCAGTGAGGGACTGGAGGACCGCAGGCAACGGGTACTCCTGCAGCTGGAAGAGTTCGGACGGCTGACAGTCCACGGTGAAGCTGTTGGAGTCGCTGTTGAACTCCACCGGGCACACAAAGTAGCGATAGCCCGCCATGACGTAGGACAGCTGGAGGGATTGCCGGGGGGGGGGGGGGGGGGGGGGTTAGATCACTGTAGCATAGCAGGGACATGGCACCCAACCACGATCCGCTCTGATGTGTTTACCAGAATCCCAAAGACGACGGTGGAGAAG